GAGTGGCAGAGGGAGAGAGAGAATCCCAAGCAGGCTCCACGGCCAGCTCGGAGCCTGAAACGGGGCTCAGTCTCACAACCCTGAGAGCATGACCTGAGCTGAAATTAAGAGTTGGATGCTCAGCGACTGAGCCCCCCAGGTGCCCCTGGGCACTCGTTACTAACAGGCCTTAAGAACCTTACCATGTGTGTGTAAGTAACATGTAACGTCCCTGAGAATGGGATCAGATCTTGTGCACCGTCATAAAGACCAAAGGACTTGGAAGTATGAGCATAAAGGACCAAACAGTGGTGCCATGAATTTCTGTAGGAGAGTCCAAAAATTTTTGTTTTTAGCCATCTGTTAAAATACTGACAGAAGACACGAAAATATCAAGCTGTCTTCATCTAAACTATGTATTTAATTTCTTTAAAAAATAAATATCCTCAACCAGTTAAAAATGGCAGTTTAAAAAGTTTAAAAAGACTAGTTCCTGACCCCCTAAACTTAGAAACACCACTCAAAATGCTTAACAGATGTGATATTTAATTCCTTGACTTGAATCATTTCTCAGTTAGGAATCACGAACTCAGACATCAGTAGAGCCCAGGCTGAGACGTAAGTATGTAATCTTGTGTGGTGGTGGGCATTGGCGGGAGAGCCCACACCCAGCAGAAAAGGCACAGCAGTTACTGTCGGTCATTCGCACGCAAGTCTGTGGACCCACTTTCTAGATTTTGTAACTTCTCAAGAAAAGCTCCAGATTTTAATGTGCAGTGCCTTAACATTGCCCACAAGCAGCCGATGATTCAGTGTGTCAAAGATCCGTGTGACCCGAGCAACACGTGTCCGTTGACCAAATCGGCTGCAGCTCTCTGTAGATACCCGAGCTCCACCATTCTGGAGTAGTTAAAAACTTGATTATTTTCATGTTACAGACATTCCTCATCTTTATAAGTTCATGTTCCCAGAGTAAGTAGAAGGCATAGTATTAGCACTGTCCTAAAATACTAGAGCACTTAGAAGTTGGTTATTTTAGCCTTCAGTTTGATTTGAGGCATCTGGGTAAGATTTTTTTGGCTAATACAAGTCATAGAGTAATACAGAGCACTTTCATTTATGTTATAAACCAGATGATTTGATACCAAGGACAAATACCACTTAATATCATATGATGTTTCACTCACTATAAACAGTCTTATCAATTTAGAGCTTAAGTTTAAAAGTTGCTGTAGTATAAATTAGGCAATATATATATACCTTGTCATTTTATTATATGTCTAGTATTTTGATGTGTTAGAGCTTTTAGAAAATATTTCTTTTCGATAAAGTTTAGAAAAAATTTTGTGCACAAGGAGCTTACAGTTCTCACTTAAAATTAAGTAAGAGGTAGCCACCAATCACAGAATTATACAGTAAACTGCATAGACTATAAAATAGATTTTGAAATTAGATATATACATGCATACATGTGTACATATCTGCATACAGATCCCTGTGGAGGGCAATGGAGGAGACAGTAATTATATGCCTGTATATGCATATTGATAGAGTGGTCAGTTACACAACTCAGACCAACAGAGATTTTGCTTCCACATTGAGCCCTTCCCTCAACTTAAATCTCTCACTTTGCATTGCCTTATTCTCCCCTCAGCTTTGAGAACTGTGTGAAGACGTGACTCAGCTTAGAAACTTCCTTCAGATTTGTGGGTTCTCCTATCATTTTGGTTATAACTTTTCACTGTGAGGTTATCAAAAGCCATATTTGTGTTGACTGCCTCAAAATCCTATTAGTGTTAAAAATCTCTGAAGTGTGACCTGTGGTTGAGAAGTCCAGCTCCAGGCCAATTCCAGAAGCTTCACCTGGCGAGCCTCCCAGGGGGAAATGCCCTCCCCATACCAGGTACAGTACCTGCCTTGGAGGAGTTGCTGTCAAGGACTCAGCCCCTGGACCCTCGGCCAGCTGTGCTCTTCCACATAACGTGTCTGCATCCCTAGCCCTGGTGCCTATATTTGGAGGCCTCCTTTTTGGGGGCCCTTGGCCATGACCTTTTTAAAATGCCTCTGTCAAGGCAATCTTATGAGGGCCTTGAAGACTCACTCTTTTCTCCACTCTGGTTCGGTGTTCAGTGCTTTTCTGCCCCTTGCCCTTTCTCCTTTCTCTCCCCCCGACTTGTCCCCTCCCCTCAGCAGACACAATGCCTTGCTTCTGCACTGATACTTCTAACCTTCACCCAGTGCCATTTTCTGGGGGAAAAAGGACATTGATGAAGCCAGTACCTTCTTTCTGGCCTCTTGCTTTTACCATAGCAGGAAGTGAGTAAAGGCTGAACTACTGCTTTCATTTTGACTTGATTTAACTGACCGCTCTGACAGTTCAGCTCTTACCCTCTCAGCTGTTGACAGCAGCTTTCCGTACTGTAATGTAATAACTGACGCAAGTCATCCAGAAACTGACGTGCAGACCCAGAATAGTGAACCGCTTACTGACTCTGGAGTCACTTATTATTTCATTTATTTGAGAAGCTTGACAACCCCCCTCTGCACATCCCTGAGAAGTCCACCATTTGGAAATCACAACCTACAGAAAGGTCGTGATGATTGGAGTCAGATTATTTTAAATTTAGGCTCTGCTTCTTACCTCATGGAGGAATAAATCACAAAGAATCTATGGGCTTTGATTCCTATATCTTTATTATAATAAGGATGTAACATTACTAATACAAATATCTCAAAAAAATGTTTTGAGCATTAAATCTAAAATGATTGTTGTAATCCTTTTTCAAAATTCTACAAAGTCATTGCTTTTTATTAGACTTTACTCCTACTTTAATGACTGTTTTTTCTTATTATTATGATTCCCGTTCCCATGTCATTACCCAGAAGCTCTCAATGAAATAACTCAAGCTTCACTCTTCTTCTCAAGTCCTAATGATGCAACCTTTTATTTCAATATCTAAAAATATAATATTTCAGTGAAAAATGGTCAAATTAAACATTCTAGATTCTAAGGAGCATTGCAATAGGAAAATACACTCAAATGATTTTTAAAATTTTAGTGAAATTATTCTGAAATTATTCTTTTCACATAATATCACTTTACCAATAAATTTTCATATATATTTTTTTCCTTTTTCCTCCATGTCTTCTCTCTTCTCCTTAGTGTATTTCTCTGTCATTCCTTTACAGCTGCTGCACAAAATGTCTGATCATGAGCAACATGGGTTTCAGAGATGCTCACCTTCTTTCTGGCGTAGTAGTGATGATTCATCTTCCTGTCTAAATAGTTCTTCCATTACTGTCACTCCTGTCAACTCGCCTGATTCCAGACTGTCATTGGGACTGTTAATACCACCACCTTCTAAATGTGGCCTTCCCAAGCCAATCAGTGAGAACAGCATCCCAAGACCTCATGTAATTTGCTAAGCAAAAAATTCTTTTTTATTATCCCATGTAATTTTTTTAAAACTTTACTAAAATGTGCCATTTATATCATAATGAAAAACATTAGGTATGTCTTGAATCAATGTGATGGGACCTGGTGACTTTGTGTGCCATGTTTGCTTCCTTTGTTACCTGATAGAGTTTCAAGTAGAGAGTGGTGATGGTGTACAAATCCCCAGAAAGGCGAATTAGGATAGGTCACTTCAAAGGACCCCAAATATGGCAGCTGGGAAATTAGATCATCAGTGATGTTGGTAAAAGCAGTTTTAGTGGCATTTGGCACAAAAAGAGCAAAGTTTTGATGGATATGAGTTAGTACCTCTTCCAAGGAAGTTAGCCTTGATGGAAAGAGTAAGAGATGCGAGGTTAGAGGAGTAAGACATTTTTGGTTGATTTGTTTTGTTTTCAAGAACAGTCAAGATTTGAATATCTTTATATCCTGAGAAAGAAGAGAGAGAGGGAAGCCAAGGCAGATAGAGGGATGGGTTGATCAGGAAAACAATATCCCTGGTTTGGAGGAGGAAGCTGAGGGATAAAGGTCCCTCAAAGTCTTTAGACAGTATTCGTGACTGATAAAGTGAGCGTGTTGTTAAAGAAAGGGAGATGACACCAGTTTTCCTGCATGAAAAGTGTACCAACAGTCCTATTAGCTGAATAATAACTCTGTCACTCGTCACACACAGTCAGCCTTATTTTTCTTCCATTACTTCCATTATCTGTGAATGAGAAAAATAAATGTATTCTGAAAAGTCTAATTTTACTGTGAAACACATGAGATCATCTCTGTTCATGTTCTTTGAGGACAAGCAAGTTTTTTCTTACTACTCCTCTCCAAAATGGGAATTCTCTTTCTTTTCTAGATTGTGTGTGTGCAAGTGTATATTTTTCCCCAAATGACAAAGTGATGATTCATTCCTGTGTTACATCTGGGTCCAGAATGACCCAGATAACTTCATGATTTTGGTGGTATATTTAGTGATTACTAACTTATTTCGCAAGGTAGATGTTTATCATAGAAAACGGAATGAATTCTTACCCAGGAATAAAAGGCACTGCAGTGAGTACAAGAGTTGGCTGACATTGTAATTATAAATACAAATTAACTTCTCCTCTGCAAAATTTTTAAGTCGCTATCAATTGCATTTGAATGGTCATAGTTTAAAAAGTACATTACTTCTGTTCAGTTATTTCTGTTTCCAACTTACGGAAAATGTATTACTGAAATCATGTTTTTATATAGTTTCTATTATTTTTAATTCTCTGATACAAATGGCAGTTGTTTCTAGATAGATAAAAAAAGTCCAATATCTTTTATATCTGTCTGGAATAGCATTTTCACCATTTTTGCCATCATCTTTAAGGTCATTGTCGCAGAAATTTTCTGTTGCTTTCTTGCAACGGACATTTGGTGTGACTGGTTAAATCATATAGAATTGCCAGCGTTTGATCTAGAAAATGGCAAGTTCATATGATTCAATTGTTGTTGTTTATACATGTTCTCTATGCGTATGAAATATTTAGCATTATAGCGTGTCTTCCTGAAACACTGCCGTAATTCACATTATTTTCATTTGCAGGCGGGCACCGGGACACCCAAGTCCCCCTCCACTGACATCTTCGACATGGTACCATTTTCTCCAGTATCACACGCGTCTTCAACCCCTACTCGCAACGGCACGCAGCCGCCGCCAGTCCCCAGCAGAGCTACTGAGATCAGTAAGCTTTCTAGACAAATCAATATTCTTAGCTATATTTGTGTACATTTTAGATGTTTCATTGACACTTTATGGAAAATTACATATCTTAAGTTCACTCAAAGTGTTAATTACCAAAGAATTATATTTCATTGCACCAGATCAGCTAATCATATTTAACTTTATAATTCAGAGTATCTACTGATGACATCACTCAGCATTTGAAACTGTTTTATGAAAAATGATATTTTGGTATAGGGTTATTAATTTCAATACAAAGCATTTAATCATATTTTATTTTATTTTGGTTATACTTTTAAATGTTTTAATGGTTAAAGACAACTTGGTGGTAATTATTTTAATATTTTGACATGCTTAGTAGAGCTCAGTTTAAATTTTTCATTATCATTTAAAAAAACAATAAATTTTTTGTTATCATAGAGTATATGAATATTCTTAAATGTATAAAGATATGAATTCCATGACTTGTTTATTAATCCCATGGAAGTGTTCTCTCTGGATATCTGTAATACTATGCACACCATCGCTTCTCTGCTTTACCTTCTGCACATTTGGAAGGACCATAAGACTCTCTTCCTGATGAATTAGAAAACATCCAACAGATGCTCATTTTCAATGTCATGATTATATTTTGATCTGTGCCCCATCACAGAAACGTAAAGAATAGCTCCCGATGGCTGTGCTCAGTCATTACGTCCAAAGGGAAACTGAAGAAAACAGAGTTTTACATACTATGCTTTATTGTGTTCTCTCTGGTTCACATTAAGAGGTTTTTGATATAACTCTGAAGTTATAGCTTGGGCTTAAAATATGTCAGGGTCTTTATTTGTTTCCTTCTGTGGAACTTACCAAAATATATTACACATGTTAGATCTTCAGTAAATTTTACAGAATTAATTTGTAAATGCAAAGTAGTAACATTAGAAACTTTAAAAATCAGTTTACAAAAATATGTCTGTACTTTTACATAAATTGAAATATATATTTAAATTCCTGTGAATATATTTTCTGCCAATGCAAATATTTTTTCAGGAAATAATCTACAATATATATGCCATAGTGTATTTTTAGCAAATGTTTCCAATATCCTGATACAATATCCTGATGCAGTGGGGCATTTCTTTGTCTTTGTGAGTGTCCCACATCTCTTGCTTTACTGTTTTTTAATTCCTTGGACGACCACCGGTTTACTCATTCATTATTTAGTCCAAAGGGCATTTGTATAGCGTGTGTGCTAGAGCTGGGTTACAATCTGGAATTTGAAATATAAATTACAGAGATGTACTACAAAAGAGGATTTTAATCCAAGTCAAAATACAAATTGAGAAGAGCGAATAGTTTCGAAAATATTTAGAAGGAATAGTATTATCAGGATGGCGATTGAGAGTTCATGATCAATTATGATTCAGGATTTTAGACTGAATGTTGTTAACAGGGAAAACTGGAAGTAGAAAAGATGAAAAATGCATTCTGTATTAGAATTGGTAAATCTGATACGCCTTTGGAAAATCTGGGCAAAGATGCTCCAGTGGTTTTAAGGAATTTTTTAATGAGAAACTGAAGTAACACCTTGCTGTATTTTTAAATATCTAATGATCCTGAGTGCCAAAATTTAACAAACGTAATGAAAGATATGGATGGATAGATAGGTAGATGGATAGGATTCTAGATGCCCCTATACCGTATCTATCTTCATAGCAAATGCTATAGGAAAAATGGTACAGACAGACTTGCTTGATACCGAATTGCCACAAACCCTTTCAGTTTATAAAAAACCACGCTCTCTGTGAAGCCTTGTAAAGCAAAGCACCATGAGCCGAGACACGCCCGGAATGAAAATCTCTGTTCCTCTCTATCAGCTCTACTTCCTTTTCATTACTTCCTTTCTTTCTGTTTGTTTATTTATTTACTTACTTATTTCATTACTTCATTTCTTTTCACAAACATCTATCATTTGTACAACATTGTTGGTCAGGCCTGTGGTACGGTAGAAACCCAGGCCTCTTCCAAAGGAAAGTTCCTTTGTTCTCCAAGTTCTGATTCATTGCCCAAGCCACATGAGACTGAGGAAAATAACAACAGTAATAACAACACTCATACCCATCTGCAATACCTAGTCGTAATTATATATAATAGTTTTATATAAGGTGACAACAAATTCCCACTTGTTTAGGACAGTTCTGGTTTATACATTTTGTCCTGGTGTAACTGTTGGTACCATTTCTTTTAGAATTGAAAGTGTCTTTATTTGGATGATAAAGTATATGTCCCTCTTATTTATACAATACTTACCAGCACCAGGAACTTAAAAAAATTCATGAATTTGGAAAAAGAACAGTTATGACTAAAAAGGCAAGAGTCTTTTATAATGAGGGTCAGAGATTAGTTTAGAGGACATGGTAAAACTCAAGGAACATAAATATTACCTCTTACATAGCATTGACATTTGAGGATATAGTATTTCTTAATATATTATAAATTCTCACACACCTATATAATTTTTAAAAAATTATCTTTAAAATTAAAAATCTTTCTCAGAAGAAAGGAATTTCCTAATTTTTAAATTTTTAAATAATAGGCCATAGTTTTATCAATTACAAACATTGATTTTAACTTTGATACTTCTTTAGTATCTTAACCAAAAAATGAATACTTGAGAATATATGTTACAGAGAGCTTTTTGATATTCCATTATTGCTATTTTTAAGAAGAAATTTGTTTCTGGGATAGGAGACGTTTTTAAAGGACCTGTCCCATTGTGTTTATTTAGGAAGGTGATACAGTTTCTTAGCACATGAGACAATGTGCCTTAAATTTTCTCTGAGTAAAGGTGGGGTTAAGTGAAGGATCTGCGGCCGGGACAGTCGGCCTCAGTCCCTCCTGTGGCTCCCTGCCCGTCGCGGTAGGAGGCACCGGGACGTGGACTGGGGACGGCTCGGTGAGTAACGCGCTCACTGCGGAAAATCTAAGTCGCTTCGGAAGAAGTGCGGGCATCGCAATGTGGTCACTTCAGATAACCGGGGAGTTTGACACGGAGAAGTCTTCGAGACGCAGAAACCTGTCCGGGTCACGGTGGCTCGAAACCGGACGGTTCTGAATATGGTCACGAGATGCATCTTTGCTGCTTTGCTGGTTGGACTAGTCTGAGCTCGGAAAGGCCCGCGGGGGACTGTGCGGGGTCGGCCCGTCGCGCGTCCTGCTTCGGGAGCCGCCCTCGCCCCAGCTGCGTCCCGGCCGCTCCCGGTCACTCACTGAACTGTTCTCTGCTTTCAGAACGGGACCTGTTTGGAGCGGAACCTTTTGACCCGTTTAACTGTGGAGCGGGGGATTTCCCTCCAGATATTCAGTCAAAACTGGACGAGATGCAGGTGACTATTCTCACAGATGGGCCCGCGAGTGGTTTCTTTGTCTTTCACCTGGGACACAGGAAATGCCATATACCAAAGCCGCCCTTTCCTTACTGGAACTTACTTGAAACAATTGCTTTCAAAGTAGGAATATACATTTAGTCCTAAAAGTATTCCTACGCATGCTAAGGATGGTTTTTCATTGTGTTTTGTGTTAGTAGTGTGATTTACAATGGCAATAAGTTGGTTCTTTTATTACACAAAATTACATGGATTCTAATGGTTCATTACTTTGAAATCCAAAAATTACAGGGCAGCTGTCCTAGGTTTACAAGGTTTTGTCTCAGTTTTACCAGTTATGGAGTACAAATCGGGAGTGGGTAGATGAAGGGCGATCTCTGTGAGTGAGATCGGTGTCTTTGAAGACAGGCGCCGTAGCCGTGGTTCGTTACCCATGGACTCTGTTCGGGAGAGGGGGCACCAGTGACACCTTCAGGAGTGTCATCCGCTTGTGTCTTCACTTCTCTCTCCCTCTTCTGTTTTTCAATCTTACTTGTACTGGGAGTTTGAAGATACTGGTTTTAAAAGCTTTTTCAGTGGGCCATGATCAATAAGTCGTCTTAAAAGCACCAGAAAAAAACCTCTTTATATTTGCCCTTTACATGTTGGTGAAATTATTAGATCCTATTTTTATCAAAAAGGCTATTTATATGGTAGAATGTAGGCAAAGACCCATTATAGGAAGCTGATTGAGAAGAAGCAGTGGGGAGAAGGAGTCATTCCTGTTTATTACGTGGTTCATTCTCTGTGCTCCATTTCCTGGACGAAACAAGTAAAGGTGATTTCTGACTTTCTAACACTGGTGAGACACCCCTTCCTAGAAAGATAATATAAATACCCTTCCCTTCATTTTGGACCACGGCTATGACGCAGTTGTCTTCTTTTCTAGGTATTATGTGAATTTCCTTATTGTTCTGGTTATTATAATGCGTGCACCTTAAGTGTTGAGTAACATATGCCTTAAGATTTCAAAGAATATGTTAAAACAGCATTTCTCAAGTTGGGTGATGGATAGTTTTCTTTTACATGAAAAAGTTATTTTAAATCCTTTATATTGACTTAAATTGTAACATTTCTTAAATATTTACCAGAAAAGTTATAACTTATCCTCACAGCTTCTATTCAACTATTAATTCAAAAATTATAAATTAAATAAAAGCAAAATTACAACACCTACTAAAATTCAAATTAAGAGCTTCAGCAGGATGGGTGATTTCAAACTTCTGTTGATCTCAACGGGTACCCGGTTTGTTGATACAATTTTTCTCCCTCTTTTTCCGTATTCAGATACTACAAAACTTCCACTCAGATAGTGCATGAATATTTAGCAAGAATACTTTATTTATTTCACATGAAATCAATCCCTTTTCCTTTTTCATTAGTTTTACCAATTAGGTTTGTGCTACTTGGGACTAATGCTTTTATAAGAACAAACAGAAACATGGGCACCGATCTGGTGCCGTTTGTCCTCAAGCATTATGCAGATCACGAAGAGTACTTTTCTATTAATGTTTTTTTTTAGTTTTCACAAGACTGAAAACATTTCGATAGATTTTTAAAAATAAATCTACATCTGCAGATTTTTGTAGGAACTAACTTTGAGAGATGCTATTATGGAATGATTTAGTGATGTGTTAGTTAAATTATGTTAAGCTGTGGTATTTTTGCTTCTGTTTTTGTTTTTGCCACTTCTAATATTTTCTTAATGTCTTTTTTATTCTTTTCTGCTTTCATGGTGGGTAGCGCCAGAGATGGTTGGTATATTATTTTCATAATAATTTTAAACAACTTACAACTTCGTAAAGCTAAAACCTTAATATTTGCATGCTTTACTTAATAAATATTCAAATAGCAGTTTCATATGGATGTTTCTGATTGTTGTGTGTAAAGAGGTTTTATAACCCGTATTTTAAAGTTGTTTTTTTCAGTGGTGTAGTCTCTATTGCATTGTGCACCTCATTGCTTGTCTGATTTTGTTTTTCTTTGTTTTGTTTTTAGTTCAAGATTTACTTGCAAGGTCACTTTAACTAAAGTAAAATAATATTTTCTTCATCTAAAGTCTAAAGTCCGTGACCACTTTTGTTATTAATCTTGTTAGCCTAATTAAGCTAATGCACATATTTGGCTACTATGTTTATCTTTGTATACAATGTAAAACCAGTTACAGTACAGTGGGTTGTAGGAGTAATATTGAGTGAATGAGCCTAATGAGATATTTGGGTTTTCTCTTTCACCTAGAGGAAGTTATAAAAGTATCTTGTGCGTGTCAGGATTTAAGCAGAAACATGAAGTCATATTTTATTATAAACTGTTAGAAAATTAAATATTTATTTGAAATCAATGATGTGGTTATTTAATTTGACATAATTTAAACTTCCTGATACACGTCACTGACAGGCAAGTCAGCAAAGTGGTATTGACAGCCCAGAAGTAAACCTTCTAAGTATAATAATTTAACACACTTAAAAAGGAGCTTGGCAAGAAGGATGAAAGAATTTTGCATAAAGGGGTGTTAAGTCAGCTGGTTACTACTTTGGTAGAAGATCAGTGCACAGCTGTAACTTAAAACAAATATCCAAGTGAATTTCAGAAAGAGTAGTCAGTTTAAAATGTTTGAAATACAACTGAATATTTATCAGACTTTTGAATTGGGAAGAAATTTCTCTAAGGAAAAGAAAAATATGTAGTTTTATAGCATCTGTAGTTTTTGTAATTTTTTCCTTTTCTCTTTAACAATATATAAATATATCACATATACATAATTAAAGTAAGTAGACAAGTAATTAGAAAACTTAACAATAAGATAAATAAAAAAACAGCAGCTCACAAAAGAGCACAAGTTGCTAACATGCACGTTCAGTCTAACCAAATGTTAGATGGACATGTTTAATCTAACCAAAGGAAATCTACAAATTAAATACAAAAGAACTAGAAATGCTATTTTAATCAAGCAAAATAAACATTTTATTTTTAAAAATTTTTTATTTATTTTACTTATTTATTTTCTTTTCTTCCCCAGTGCAAGTGAAAGTGTGATGAGCTAAGTCCTCTAACTCACTGCTGGGCTAGGGTCAGTTCATAGCATCCCTATGGAGAGTAATTATTAGTAAAACTTACCTTTTTTTTTGAGATCAGAAACTCTAATGCTATCTATTCAGAGAAGAAAATGGCTATAAATGGGGAAAATTTCTATGGGAAAAAGGTTCTAATTAACTTTATTCATAATTATAAAATACTCAAAACAGTTAAATCACATTAAAAATAATAGATGGGTGGCTGCCAGAGGGAGGAGAAGTAAAGAGTATATTAAGAGGCACAAACTTCCAGTTACAAAGTAAATAAATCACAGGGATGAAAGTATAGGGAACATAGTCAATGATATTAGGATAACTTTTTATGGTGACAGGTGGTCACTACACTTACTGTGGGGACATACCATAATGTATATAAATATGGAGTCACTATGTTATACACCCAAAACTAATATAATATTGGGTATCAACTATACTTGAATTTTTTAAAAATTAATAGATTATGTAATCATTAAATTAGTTTTATGGGGACCCAATAGGGAATGTTTGTTCCATTAAGTTTTAAAAAGAATATAGAAAATTATATATATGTGATACATTAAAATACATAAGAAATTTATGTATAATATATGGTTTTTATATTAATATTAAAATTGTTGGAAAAAAAACCTAGAGATAGAAAAAAAGGAGACTCAAAGGACATACCTCAACATGTGAACATTCTTCCAGAAGACTGACTTTTCCTTCCTTGACACGCTTTTCTCCCTATTTCAAAATAAGGCAGTGCAATGGGGCAACATATTTCATTAAAAAAGCATATTATTAGTACTTTGTTAACAATAAAGTTATCTTTTGCATGATACTAGTTTACAATACTTTCTTTCACTATGTAAGTTAAAGAGAGCTTCATTTTCATCCAGAGTTTTGAAATTCAAGATGTGGAAACCTAAGAAAGATTCACTGATCATCAAGTCATGATTTACTAAATAAGAGCTAGGAGCAAAGGTTAGAAACTGTGTGGGAAATTTTATCTTAGGAGTAAAGAAAACAAAAGAGAGAGAGAATATTATGTGTCTATTAATACGGATCATTAAATTAGTCAAAGGGGACTCCAAAGGGATCCTTATAAAATCACTATGGAGGAAAAAAAAAAAATCACTATGGAGATATTCTTGTAAATGATTTACATTTTTTTTATTGTTGAAATAGTGACCGATCCCTATTTCACTATGATTGCTATTCTGCCATGGAAACACAAACCACACGGATAGTGTTTTCAGTTGAAATGATTGTGGTTTCATTTCAGAATGAACTGAGAAACATTTTTAAACACCGTATCAAAGCTTTCCAAGTCAATATATATCCTATCTATCTACTGTGCCAGAAGATGACATAGTACACAGATCCTCACATATCCAAATAAAATAGTTATACAAAACAGTTAATTTGCACTATCTTTCGCTCTAAGCATTGACTTCTCTAAGTACTTGACAGCTGTTTAAAATAATATGCGTAGATATGACAAAATATTTCTTCTGGTGATAAGAACAGGCTTTAAAAAAGTAAAGGTAAGTACTCTTTTACTCAACTGGCTCTAATTTGTATTCTAAGTTCTGGGAAGAAGTTCTGAACAGCCTTTGCGGTGGGGCATGGCCCGGGGGTCTTCCCGCTATAGGTGGAGTGAGGAGCGCTTTGACAGCAAACCAGGCGTGGCTTCCAGTGTCATATTTTCTCCCTCTCTGCGATCATGTTGACACTGGATTTGTGATAAGGACGTTAGATACTTGTTACAAACTGAAGTGATTTGGGGGAAGGCAAAGGGATTCACAACTGGCTAGCACGCGAGTAGGTACAGTCGAATGGAATAAAATGCAAAGGACAGAGGACCATAGCCTCCTCTCTGAGGGACATTTTACTTCCGGCAGGAGTAGGCTGTTCACTCTTCGCTCACCCGTAATATGTCTCCTGGCCGGCCCTCACCACACACGACCTCCCTGAACAAAATTTCAGTTCCTGTCAGTGAGAGAGAAACGTTTAGTATGAATATAGAAGCCACAAAGCTTCTACAAGGAGACCCAGCATGTGGCCCCCAGTTCCCCCGTGGCTGCGGGGCGTGCTTTGATCTCTGCACACTGGCACGCCTGCATTAGGGGCAGGGGAGGGGGGGGGGAGGAGGTGCTAAGGCTGGAGAGAGCCCCTCACCTAACAAAAAAGAAGACCGCTCAGAGTAGAGCACAAACTTTTTTCCACCAGCTCCTAACTGGAAGTCTTCGGCGCTTGTGATGAGCACTGGGTGTTGAATCACCAGGTCCCCCCGGGAAACGAATGCGACATGGGGCCTTATTAACTCACTGGAACTGAAACAAAAACTTGGAGGGAAAAGAAATCTTAGGAGGAAAAGCTTGCGTGCTTGCTCTCAATAAACCAGGGGCAACTTAACTTCCGGAAACATCTAAACCCTGCGGTGGGGGGGGGGAGTGGGGCTCAACCTTACAGCTACAAGCAACAGCGGGGCCAGTAGGGGAAGCTTTCTCTGTGGCCAAGTGCTCTGAAGTTCTGTGTTCCCCACGGGAGGTGGCATCAGGTTTACTGTTAGGAGTTTTACCCAGGCCCTAGGCAGGGCTGACCAGGAGGAGAAGGCAAAGACCCTCGGGCTTTCGAACTTTTCATCACATCTGAGGTCTCGCTGTCTTACGTACGTGTAACTGGATATTAGCCCTGAAAGGCAGGAGAGGAGATTTAAACTACGGTAGAATGGCAGAATAGACTTCACTGAAAAAGGAACATTTAGGTCTTAAAACCACGTAATTCCCTATCTTTCTGTTTTCTTTTGTCTTTTGGGCATGCTAACCTCATACATTCGTATTTAAAATGCCTGAGACACACATAGAAAAATTGGACAAGCCAGGATTTGCCGGATTAGTCCTCAGCTGATGAGAGCATGGCGGTTTCAACTGCCGTTCAGTCTTCTTATTTTATGAATATTGTCATTGTTATCGTCTTTATTACTGTCATGAGCATTTCTTACTTTAATGATTTTACTCTGTTTTACAGGAGGGGTTCAAAATGGGACTAACTCTTGAAGGCACAGTATTTTGTCTCGACCCATTAGACAGCAGGTGCTGATGTGAAGAACAAGAGGTCCAGATTTGGGTTGTTTGTTTTACATGCGCATAGATCACTCCTAAATACCTTGTGACAGGTGGTGTCTGTGTGCCAATATGTGTTTGAAGATCTCCACTGTTTGCAAATTATTTTAGTAGAATGTGTTCCACTATTGATCTATGACGTTTATTTTAAAAATAAGTCACTGTAAAGTAAATCATACTTTCACGTTCCTTTCTGTTTCTCTTGTCGATGAATTTAGAATCAAAGAACAAATTATCCAAATATCTGCCTTGTGTCTGAGTTCTGAATAATTAGCATCTTGAAATCTGTGTTCATTTTCCAGGCTGCTACTTTATTATTCATCCCCAAAAGCCATACCTTGATGATCCCTTTCAGTCTTGAGGAGATATACCAATGCTAAACTTAGTATATCTGTATTCAGACCAATAAGCATGTTACCATGCGTCAGACAGGTGTTATTTTATGTGTTAAATGTTGTTCATATCATCGGCAACACGTAAACTTTGAGTATAATACCGCCAGGTCATTTTTAGCAGGTAAAATAGCAAAAACATAATTTCCAATAATAATTAAGCCAAATAATTATTTATTAGTAAAAGCAAAGTAATAATGTTAGCTATTACAGTCAGTCATACTCTAAATCTTTTATTTATTTCCTAAGTAAGGATAATGGTAAAAGCCAAAAATTTGCTCATTACAAATACACTTAAGATTTAATTTCTAATGAGATATGTTACATTGCTAAACACCTAAACATCATCTGATCTAATATTTTCTTAAAAAAAAATGGAATGTCAGTTGTCTGCAGTTGCAAAATCTATTACCCACATTTACTTTACCAAATATATTTTTTCTCACTGAATATTATTCTCATATTTTCTTCTTTGATAAACATTTTCTCACCAAATTTTATTTTGTGATGCCCCATTAGTTTTGATACTTTCAAATCTCTAACAATTATTCTTTATGAATCACCAGTATTATTTAGCAACTTTAATTCGTATTTGTTTTTATTGAAGTCAGAATTTCATTTTTTACAAAAGTCAAGTGGCTTCTCAGTTTGGGTTAACACGCACAATGAAATTTTCTTTCATAATGTGCCGATGAACTCCGACCTTTTAAAATGTTAATTTTCTATACCTTTGCCCATTATGTAACATATTTTAATTGGTATTCAGTGCAAGAAGGATTTATGGTTAAAATTTATAATTTGGTTCATTGCATCATAAGAAAAATAGATTAAATTAATAAAATGTGAGCCTAGATTAGGGATATATCTCAAAAATAAATTTTTTTCTTTTACTCCTGGGAATTTTTGTCAAGTGCTAAGGGTACATATTCACTAGGAAAAGAAATCATAAAATGCTTATGCAATGTTATAGTTGTATGTATCTTCATAACGTTCGATGGTAGACATAAGCCTTCTGACTTGTTTCTCTATCGGCTAAGTTGTACCTTAGTTAGAGGTTAGCATCTGTTTCATAAAGAAGAATCTTTATAATTTTGTTTGTCATATAGTATTTTGGAATTTGTATAATGAGGACGTTTAGAAGCCATATCAGTGGCTTTTTTTAACAGATAGAATTTGTATTTTTATTGTACTTTAAAAGCTTTATGTAATAGGTATATATTTAGTGGCCATTTATTACCAATGGTAACACCATAGAGTACTAAGATGGTATTTGCACACTTAAGATATGTTACCTTGCCATTTTTAATGGTAGTCAGTTCTGCTGCTGGCATGACTAAATAGTACACAATTGGCTATTAATTAGGAACGTTCATTTCTCCAGTGCATTTTTATGAAGATCCAGTTGAAAATTGTATTTCTATGTAAACTCAATGATATGTTTGATTTTGCTGAGAATAAATGATTTTAAATAAATAATTGTATATTTACTCATTAAATAATCTCTGGTTAAGTTAGAAACATTCTGAAGCTAATTACATGACGAAGTTTCTAGGTCATCTAGTGAGGCCTAAGAGTGGAAGGAAGGAAGGAAAGGAGGAAGAGAAGGAAAAGAATGAATGAACTTTACTTTTAACTTCATTTCTTACAGCCCACACACATTTCAGCTTTATAAGCAAGTATCATTCGGTTATGAAACAGTGACCTCAATTCTGCTGGGAAGAGACGTCATAATTTGGTTCCTTTCACTAGAAGTGTCTGGTGCAATAACTGTGTTATGTAAACATCTCTTTTCAAAATTGACAGCCTTTTCAGCCTAGTAATAATAGAAAGGGTTTCTTGGTAGATAGTCTTTATGAGGTGGACTTGATAATAAGATTTGAGCTGTGGCTTACTGGAATATCATGAAGTCTTGAAAATTTGAAAACAAAATATTATTGAAGATACACAGGACTCACGTGTACATTCTTTGCACACCAATAAACAACTCATCAACCCAGTCAGTAAAGCTCATTTATTACTCACTTTATGTGATAACGTATCATATGTGGGTTAGAGAACATCTAGTAACTGACTAGATTTAAGTTTGCTTACTTAATTAACAGTTAAATTGAAGATGACAGGTTCCTGCCTTCAGTTAGCTCAGTGTCATAAAGGAAAAGGAAGGCACTGTATGAATTGATAGGTGAAAACCAGTATGTTCTAAAGTACCGTGTGAATCAAAAACTTCCCAGAAGACATTTATATTTAATTATGTTTAAATGTGGGTACCTAGTACTGGCTAGTGTCCACGGTGTTGGATATCCGCTGTGAGACTATCAAGACAGTCCAATAGCAATAATTTTTTCTTCTTATTTCTTTTATTTGGGATCTGAATTTTTTCAAAAAATTTTGGTCACATTATGGGAACTTATTTTTCAGATAGAATTTCTGATAGATTTTGCATTGTTACATTTCTGAAATTTTTTTTTTTTACTCTTTTTGATGTTACTTAACCGTGAAAAAAACTAGCTGCTAATATTTTTCTGTTCCAATGTTTCCACATATATATAGTTCCAAATTCAATACTTATTCATGATTTTGGATTTCAACCTCTGTTAAACTAGTTGGGGAATCTTGGACTCGATTTTGACAACTAATCTCAGACTCCACCTAAACTACACCCTTTCTAAGTGGCTAGCACCCTGCTGAGACGGGCGTGCTTCGTATCGTGCTCAGATCCCCGCGTCTCCTGCACGAAGCGCCTAACTTGTGTCGTCTCCTTCCTAGATGAGCTCAGATAAATTCTTCAAGAACCTCCTCCTTCAGTGTCCATTTCATAAATTGGACAAAATCTTAATTCTTCAATACTTGTTCCATATCTTTTTTTTTTTTTTTAAGATTTTACTTATTTGACAGAAAGAGAGAGAGAGCACAAGTGGGGGTGAGTGGAAGAGGAAGAAGCCGGCCTCACTGCTGAGCAGGGAGCCCTCCTTGTCCCATGTCTTGATCTGCTGTTAAGGATGAAATGTAACCCACTTCTAGAAACCCCTCATATAAAACTTATTTTCTCTGGATTCATCCAAAGTGGATTTCCTTACTCTAATAAGGAGACCACCTAAAATAACTTACGGTCTTCTAAGTCCTTGCTTTCAAATAAATTTTTATGAAATATGGATATTATTTAAATAGCAGAAGACATTATGCTTCTCTGGATTCATTTCCTTCTGTTTCCGTTCATGGGTTCTAAGACACAGTACTTCCTGAACTGCACTTAAATAATATGAAAAACATGGCATACTTAAGAAGTTGAGTTTAAAGTCTCATTTCAAATTTTTCTGACATTACATGATAAATGGAAATAGTGGAACTTCTATATCATTAACATTGGGTTTCATGTCAGTTAATAGTACCACCATTGGGGCGCCTGGGTGGCTCCGTCAGTGGGTTAAGCATCTGCCTTCGGCTCAGGTCATGATCCCCGGGTCTTGAGATCCAACCCTCATCGGGCTCCCTTCCCTAGGGGAAGCCTGCTTCTCCCTCACCCACCCTCCCACTGCTTGTGTTCCCTGTCTTGCTGTGTCTCTTTCTGTCAAATAAATAAAAATCTTAAAAAAAAATAGTACCACCATAACTATATGACAAAAAATTTGGAAAAATGTACTTTATTTCCCTTACCCGCATTTTTGGCATTTGTTCGGATGCGTAGTCAACATGCATTGAGCCAAACTGTTCCCGTTTACATGCAAGTCTGTCTATAGGCAAGTTGGACTATGCGGTAAGGCTTTTAAGCAGCGCTGTTTTCATTAAAGAAAACCTGGTTAAAAGCTGTAGGAGTTACCTTCTTAAAAGGATTCTTCAGTACCCAGTGGACCTAATTAAGTAATTTATTAGAGGACATTCCAATATCCCGTAGCATTTTCTTGATAATTTGTCCTTTATTGAATTATTAATAGATTTTGCAAAAATATATAAAATACTGTCTTGGAAAATCTTTTAAAAATATTTTAATAAAGTTTTTTTTTAGACTTCTCTATTTATTCTCCAAAAGTCTTGAAGAAAAGTTTGCTTTGACATTTTTATATCCTTCGGTGCCAAGCACAACATTTTGTCCATAATCATTCAGTAAAGAATGCTTCTTTAGCAACATGCTTCTTGCTAATGATGTGAGCTAAAACTTCTTAAGCTCTCCGGGAGAGAAAAGAACCACTTGCCTTCCAAGTAAATGTTAGAAGATAATACTTTGTTCTCTCTGATGAAAACTTTACTATGATTTTAACTTTTATCTCACTGCAGCAATAATTTGCTGAATAAAGATCTTGACCGATCTACAACCACTGTAGAATCATAGACCAAGGAAATCTGGCCCAACCGAGTGAGGGAAAACCAATGATTACAGAGTTTTCAAAGAGGCTGTGAAGATTTAACGATGAACATTCTATAACTGAGAGACACTCCTTATACTGAAGGGAATGGAGAACTGTATTTGCTGAGTGTGTATGTTAACTCCTACTGTACCTTTCCTTGAATCCCATATTGTTGTCACACAGTTTTCGTTGGTTTTAAATATTTTTAAGCTCATTTATTTGTCCTTAATTTTTATTGTCCTCTTACTTCAAATGACATTTCACAAGAACATGTTGGGGCCCTTCCCAGTTGACTACTCCCTCCTCTCTGTCTGGCCAGGCTGCTATGTTCTAGTCTGTTCCAAAGGTCACTTATTCCAGTTGAAATAGTTGTCTGGATAGCCTGGAAATAATCCAGAGACTGGTTCTTTCCTGCAAAGAAAGCAAAGAAAGATGTTTGTTTCTTGGCTACATTTTGAAAGGAAAAAATAAAAGAATTTTATGACTCATCTACTAATAGCTGAAAAAAATTAATATAACTCTGGGACAAATTTAAAATTATTGTTTTTCAATGCTTTGTATCATTTTGCCTTTAAATCTAATTCTTAAAATCAATTTACGATTAAAATCATTAAATAATTGGTATTAGGTAGCTAAGTGTATATAAGAAGTGCGTGCTGGGAAATTTTGGCAAAGGTTCAGCAAAAACTGAGTTCTGCTGCAGACAAACGCAGACTCTCTCCTGCTTCATTTAGCAACTCAGTTCTTCACTGATTTTGTTCTTGGTATCTGCTTTAATTGAAAAAAGAAAAAGCAGCTAGGGTTGTGCCAGACAATACAGGGAACGGGAGGAGACAGGTGATGAAGGCAGAGTCCTCGGAGATGTCAGC